ATCCCTCTATAGACTTTGTCATTCTTACTATTTCCCTTTCCAACCATTACTGTGTTATCTGCAAATTTGGCAATAGTACATTCACTTTCTTCATCCATGTCATGAATATATGTTTTAAATAAATGTGGCCTGGCACTGATTCCTGTGGCATTCCACGAGTTACAGGTTGGCATCCTAAAAATGTTCCTTTTATCCCAACTCTCTTTCTTCTATTAGTCAGCAAATCTCTATCCACATTAATATACTAATACTGCACCATAGGCTCTTACCTTATTAAGTGGCATTGTATGCAAAAACTTATCAAAAGCCTTCCAGAAATCCAAATACATTACATCCAGTTGTTCTCCTTCATCTAAACTGCTCGTTAGTGTTATAAAGCAGAAGTTGACCTCTGCCCACTGAGAACTAAAACCAAAATACCCAAAGAGGAGCACTTTGCCCTATAATCTGTAAAAGGAGTGTGAAAAGTGGTGTGACCTGCCTTTCAGCAACTTCTAGTGGTTAAATATAATAAAACCCTGACATTCACTTTAGAATCAACAAGTAACAATTTATTTATCTAACTCTAACAGTGATAAAATTAACTAAAATTATTAACTAACTGAATAAATCCCTTCTAACTACAAACTATTCCCAAATAAAACAAGATTCTAATTGTATGCTGTTCCAATAAATACACGTCCCACTTGTAGAAAATAAAATAAATAAAACAATACAATTTAGTCTCTTAAAATTACAGCCAAGTTAAGTATCTTCCAGAATACTCTGTGCCTTCGCTGTCGAATGTTGTGATGGGAACGCCTCCTCGGTCGATTCTTCTATCAGGAATATTAACTAATTGTGCCATGGGTACCTTTGTTCTTTAGATGGTGCTTTCTCCAAGACTTAGAGGAGTCTGTGAGAGCCAGTGATTCTCTTGAGAACTGAGAGCTGTTAACTCTGGGAGTTAGTTCTCTCCTGTCTTTGTCCAACTGTTCCCTTCTTCTATACCCTTGATGACATATCAAATTTCTTATAATAGGGTTGGTCCTATGTTGTCAAAACCATTGAATTTAAATTTAATTGGTTTTTGGTATCTCAGTGCCTGGTTCAAATCGATTGGCTAAATTCAAAAACATGCTGTCTCGGTAAAACTGCTGCTTAGCCTGCTAACTGTACAGCCTTTTGATACAAATGTTTCAATTTGAGAGCTGTGTACCTGCAAACTTCCAACCTGCTGCTCACAGACACCCTTTTGAAATGTCTAAGCATAGAAAAAGCACATCATTGTTTAAAGGGACCATGCAATGCTCTCCGCACCCCCTCCCCACCACACTGTACAAACACCAAATTCTAGTTTCTTGCCTCCCAAACCACAAGTATTCTACCCAACTTCGCAACATTACCAACTTAAAGAACTCCAATAAATTTGTTAGGCATGATCTGCTCTTCCTGAGGCCACGTTGACTCTGCTTGATCCGATTACATATTTCTAAATGCCCTACTAATACATCCTTTATAATGGATGCTAGTATTTCCCAATGACAGTTGTCATTATAGTTATCATTTTTTTGTCTACATCCCTTTATAACTAAAGGCATTACATTAGCCATTCTCCAATCCTCTGGGACTTTTTTTACAATCTAAGAATTCCTTGAAGATTACTACCAGTGCATCCACTGTCTCTGCAACTACTTCCTTTAATATTCTAGGTTCACCTTTCAGCTCCATTAGTTTGCCTGGTATTTTTTTTCTCCTAGTGATAGTTATTTTATTTATTTTCTCTGCACCTGCCGCCTTGATTGTTAAGTATTTTTGGAATTCAATTAGTGCCCTCTACATTAAAGACTGATGGAAAATATTTATTTGACTCCTCTGCCATTGCCTGATTACCTACTATTTCCCACAAACATTATTTATGTTCTCCCTCTTACTTTTTATATATTGAAAAAAGCTTTGACTTCTATTATGTTACTTGCCAATTTTCCCTCAGTTTATTTTCTTCCCTCTATTCTTGATCATTTTTTAATATAACTTTCTAATATGGTCGATCACTAATCTTTGACACACAGTGATGTTTTTTCTTTGAATTTGATACTTCCTTGTTTAACCATAGTTGGCTTCTTCCCTTCCTAGAATCCTTCTCGCTCCCTTTGATATGACCATGAACTATTTCCTTAGACATCTACCATTGTTCCTCAACCATCTTTTCCTCGCCCAGTCCAGTCAGCCAACTGTATCCTTATCCCTATGCAATTTATTTAAATTTAGCTCAGGTCTTTCTGATCCAAGTTTCTTAGTCTCAAACTATCATATACAGTTGACAGGTAACATAAATGGCCTAGTTTACTAACACCACAGTGGCCAATTAGCCAGTAGGGGAAATGGTTGAGACTGGTTAACAGATACAATCAAGCATGCTGGAAACTTCAGTCAAGCTACTTAAAACGGGAGCCAGGACATGTTGTGACCTGTCCTGCAAGATGTGACCTGCAGTTTCCTGTGTTGACTAAATAAGGGATGCTTTGTAGTGGATAAAAATCAAAAGAACTGCGGATGCTATAAATCAGGAACAAAAAGTTGCCAGAAAAGCTCAGCAGGTCTGGCAGCATCTGTGAAAGGAAAAACAGAACGGACCCAAAACATTAACTCTGTTTTTTCCTTCACAGATGCTGCCAGGCCTGCTGCGCTTTTCCAGCAACTTTGTTTTTGTTCCATGTTTTATAGTGGTCTGCTAGACGTACCCCTGGCACCATATCACCTTGTATGGAGCATGGTACACGGCTGTTTACAACTTGATATAAACATTTGGCAATGGTTTACTAGTAAACTCCATTGGCTAGGATCAAACTTTGTGATCAGGTTTGGTCAATTCATTATCCAAATGCCAGAGAAGCTTCTGGAACGTGAACACATTTTGGGATAAAAGTTACCAGAATAAAGGATTTTGCAAAAGTGAGCCCTCAAGACCAACATTTGAGAAATTATCTTCAGGGACAAAGAACCCTGAGGCAAGATCTACACCAAGAGCAAAGTTGGCCACTTGATTCAAATTGGGGTAGTATTTGTTTCAAGCCAAACTTTAACTATAAGTTGACAGTTGGGCTAAGTTGAAATAAAATGAAGTTAAAAGAAGTGAGTTAAAGTTGAAGTTAAGTTAGATGAAGTAACAAGTAAATGTTTCAATGAATCAATATTTTATATTGATTATTGGTACTTAAAGAGTTAAAGAAGTCTCAGCGCTGAAGAA